TGTGCTGTAAACCTGAGCCCATGTGAAACTAGGATAATGAACATCCCAGAAAAGCTAGATTCATGACCTGCGTGATAATCAGCTGTGTACTTTTTAACTCCAGAAAACATTTCCAAAGGGAATATCTTCATCCTATAAACATGCAGGGGCAGGTACCTGGACAAGGCTTTCTAAGGGACAAATAAGGCATGGCCTCAACTTTCAGGGCACTTACAATCTAGGTCAAAACTAGATTGTAATAGATGAAACTACAATGTGGCATAGAAAGGATATGTCTTGAGAAAGTCAATTTGTGGAGGTCCAAGAAGGCAGCAGTTATTTCTAGTGAATGATGGTCAAAATCAAATGCATTTCTCCAGGCCTCTAGCAGCCAAATGTGCCCCTCCTGCATCATCCCCATCTCTATAGGTGGATACCACCAGTAGTCAGCTATCGAGGCCAGAAATCTGAGCGTTCTACTGTCAGCTAGTCCCCAAAGTCCATAGATTCTACCTATTGACCTTCCCTAGAGCTCTCCATCTTTGGTCACTTACGTTGACTTACTTTGGTGGCTCTCAACCATCTGCGTCTCAGAATCTCCTGGATCTTTTGGTTGTTGCAGCTAGGTGCCATCAAGTTGGTTCTGAGTCCTAGCGACCTTACGAACAACAGAACGAAATACCATCTGATCTTACACCATTCTCACAATCGCTGCTAAGCTTGAACTCATTTCTTACGGGGTCTCCCTCTTTTTTTACTGACCCTCCACTTTGCCACACATGATGTCCTTCTCCAGAGACTAGTCCCTCCTGATATTATGTCTGAAGTATGAGACACAGTCTTGCCCTTCTGGCTCTACTCCAACATAGATTTGTTTGTTCTTCTGGCAGTTCATGGTCCTTTCAGTAGTCTCCAACACCTTAACTCAAATGCATCAATTCTTCTATGGTCTTCCTTATTTGTGGGCTAACTTTCCCATGCATATGAAGTCACTGAAAATACCATGGCTCGGGTCATGGTATTTTGCTCTTGAACACTTTAAAGGTGCTGCATATTTGCCTAATGTAATATACCTTGTTTGATTTCTTGAGTGCTGTTTCCATGGTTGTGGATTCAAACAAAATGAAGTCTTAGACTACTTCAATCATTTCTCCATTTATCATGATGTTATTTATTGATCTTGAGGTGAGGATTTTTGTTTTCTTTACCAAGGATCTCCTGGAGGACTTATTAACCTGGCTAGGCTAGCCCCTGAGGAGCTGTGGTAGCGTAGTGGTTACGAATTGGGCTGCAAATCGCAAGGTCAGCAGTTAGAAACTATCAGCTGCTCTGCGGGAGAAAGATGAGGCGTTCTGCTCCCGTAAAGATTAACAGCCTCGGAAACCTTGTGCAGGGTCGCTATGAGTTGGAACCGACTCCACGGCACATAACAACAACAGGCTAGCCAATAGGATATGTGTTCTTGTGAGCTGGTTGAAGGAGATGGTGAAAGTAGCAATTACATAACTAAGCCAGCGATGGAATCTGGGAGTCCAGTAAAGAGAGACTTCCATCAACAAGACAGGATCCAGAGATGGGTTAGGCTGGATAAGGAATAAAGACAGGAGGATCAAGAGTGTGGCTCTGACTGTGGTAATTTGGGAGCATCAGTAGGACAAAGTCTCCTGTCTTTTCTGTATGTGTCTTCCTACCACCTGATTAATGTTTTTAGCTCCAGTGCTGAGTGAATGAATTATGAATGAATGAGTGCAATGGAGTCAGAATAAAGCCAAGAGGGTCCTACAAGAGCCAGGAGAAAGAGGAGCAGTGGTTCCTGTAATGATTTGAGATAAAGTCTCGCCACCCAGGATGCCTCCTGGGCAGATGAGAGCACACCTGAGAAAAGGCAGGCTGCTGGTACCAGGGGGAGAACCAGTAGAGGAAGCCCAGGTGGCAGACCAGCAGTGGATACAGTCTGCCCAGGTTTTTAGTGCATGTGGAGATCAAATGACACCTCAGATGCAATGCCTTAAACCTATGCTTATGGTGTGTCGTAAGTGTGTCTACATTGAGCGTACTGTGACAAAATGTATGAGAGCTGAAATGTACTATGTGATTTCACTGATCCAATGCAATAAACATAAGTATTAGTGCCTTTATTCTATATATAAAGATACGTCTAAAATGAGTTAGATATTGTCACTGCTAATCCATTTTTCCTTGTGAAATAGACAGTTTTATGACTATTATGACAGTTTTCTCAAATCTAACCACTACTGTTCTTCCATTAGATTTAACACATTGACATGTGTTTAGAGAATGTGATATAATGCTGGAAATGTCAAATAAATGGTTTTTCTTCTGACCTGGTTTTCCAATTTTCTGGTATAGTACGATGGGGCTTTCTTGTATATTTCTTATATATGCCGAGAAATATTTGAACAGAAAAAATGTAGAGAGAAAAGCTTTCATGGTCTATTAAACATACACAGTAAAGAACTATGCTTCTAAGTAGACAACCTCTGAAATCAATTACCTACAGTTATGCTTCCAAATCAGTAATTCTTTTAGGACCCAAACCAAGACCATTGGTTCAGATTCATGCGACCCATGGGTTACAGAGTAGAACTGCTTCATTGAATTTTCTTGGTTGTCATCTTTACAGAAGCACATTGCCAGGCTCATCTTTCCAGGCACTACTATTCAGGTTTGAATCGCCACTAAGGGCAGTTTGCCGCACCCCAGGACCTTTTAGTCATTGTAATGGTAGAGTCATCAAAAGCCAAAACTGGTGCAGGACGGACAGTTTCATTCTGTTATGCATAAGGTCACAATGAGTCAGACTGATTTGATTGCACCTAGCAACAACCACAAATAAGGACAAAGCAGGGATTTTTACTACCAGAAACAAGCACTGGGACTTCTAGAGGAAGGAAGAGGTATAGGATAAGCATGGATAACAGTCTAGGGTTCCATTTCCTTTTTACTGCAGCTTGCGGGCAGGCTTGGTCATTATTTACGTGTGCCTCCCACAGACTAACAGAGGACAGGGTTTATGAATTGCAAGTAATTCATTTTTAAAATTCAATTTCATGTATCCAAACAATCCTTGTGAGCCCATGTAGCTAAACCAACTGTATACTTGGAGATTTCAATTGAACAGTCCTGAGACGTGAACTAAAACCACACCAAACCCACTAACACCAGGTTGATTCTGACTCACAGTGACCCAGCGAGACTGTAAATCTCAGACTGTAAATGTTTATGGGAGCAAACGGTCTCATCTTTCTCCTGAGGCGTGGCTGGTGGATTTGAACCACTGAATTTGTGGTTAGCAGCCCAGTGTATAGCAAATAGTACCACCAGGGCTCTTTGAAGTGTGTCCTTGTTGGAGTTAACTCACTCTTACGTATGTGTCAGCCCCCATGCTAATCAGGAAGCAGCAAATGTCTTCTGTCGGGTTTAAGACAAACCTGGAGTTCTAGACTCTTGGTGCTACTATATTAGCGTGTGAGTGACGGTTCTTTGTTTCCCGTTTTCAACTTGAAATGGTCCACAAAGCATGAAATGTTGCATTTCTCATGCTCTTCCAATAAAAAGCAATCTTCACCGTGCTTTTCCGAAATCCCAGTGTGTCCGTTTTGATGGGGCCAATGAGAAAATCTGAGGAAAGTGGAATTCAGGAAGTCAGGGAGTCGGAAGAATGTTTGGAATTTCTGACAGATTTTACTAAACATTTTCTGTGGGACACGCTCCAGAAGCCCATAAAGTTAGTTTGCACAAATACATAAACTGCTTTCTGACTTGCTGATAACTGCAAATAAATAACTCAGATGGTCACCCACCCAAGTCAAGATGTTAGGGGGGTCTGTGTGTTGCCTGTGAACTATCTTCTGTATACATTTTTTATAATCTAAGAGAGAAAGAAGGATTGCCTCATTTCATTCTCACTTTTAAATCCTGAAGAACTAATTTCAACTCTTTCAGTGTATCCCAAGAATATCCTTGTTAGAAATACAGTACAGTGACTAGTCTGCTCCCTTCATTTATTTGACTTTAAAAGAGAGGACTAAAGTCATTTTATTTGCATTCCAATAGAGCCATACAGTTATTGCTTCAATTTGAATTACTTAGCTGTCACATTATTTTTTTTTTCATGCTTGTTGTAAAGTGCTGTCCATTCTGGACCCATAGTGACCCTGTGTAGGATTTCCAAGGAGCAGTTGGTAAGCTTGAACCATTGACCTTGCAGTTCAAATGACTTTGCAGTCTGATGTAGCAATCACCTAATTAGATCCATGGCTATAAATTTGGATTTGTTATGTGCCATCAAGTCAATTTCAATTCATTATGACCTGATAGGACAGATTAGAACTGCCCCGTAGAGTTTTTCCTGGGCTGTAATCCTGGTATGGCACTGCGGGTTAATGCGCTGGATTGAATCACAAGGTCAGCAGTTCAACCTCACTAGCAGCTCCTTAGAAACCCTATACAGGGTAACTATGAATCGGAACCGACTCTACAACAAACACTTAGCAATAACAACAATCTTGTATGACCAGTGCCTCGAGAAGGACATTATGCTTGGTAAAGTGGAGGGTTAACAAAAACAGAGGCAGGCCCTCAATGGGGATACACTGACACCGCGACAGCAACAATGGATTCAAACATAACAACTATTGGGTGGAAGGTACAGGACTGGGCAGTGTTTTGTTCTGTTGTGCATGGGATCAGTATGACTTAGAATCGACACAGTGGCACCTAACAACAACAACAACAACAACAATCTTTTATGAGAGCAGATTGCTTAGTCTTTCTCCTATGGTGCCACTGGTGGATTTGAACTGCAGACCTTTAGGTTAATAGCCCAGTGTTTAACCATTACACCAATAAAAGCCTTATGTTAATTTCATAAACTTGTACAAAATGGGCCAAGACATAATATGAGGGGATAAAGAGAGTTCAGTAGGTCACCATTAGCTTCACAGAGCTTGGAAATTAGTTCCTAAACCTGCTAATTTTGTGCCTTTTTCTTTAAATAGATGGAACTGATTAAAAATATAAGTACTGCCGAACAGCCCTATTTATTCACTCGACATGTTCATTTCCTCAACTTCTCAAGGTAAGACATTTTCTGGCTTAATGGTTCTTTCAGTTGTTTTTAGTACTTTGACTCCTGCATTCTCTAGATACTACAACTGTCCTTGAAAAACTATTTTCAATCTGCTGAATTTTGCTGTTCAAGTTATCATCAAATCAGTTCTGACTCAGAGCAACCCCTTAGGGTGTGGTGTTGTTAAGTGCCTTCAAGTCAGTTCAGTCTCATAGCAATCCTTCGTAGGGTTTCCAGGGAGCAGCTGGTGGGTTTGAACTACTGAACTTGTGGTTCCCAGTCCAGTGCTGATCCTACAGCACCACATCAGGAATCCAAAGGTAGATAAGAGGACAGGCCTCCGATACTATCTCTATGGAAGCAGACTGCCACATCTTTCTCCTGGGGAGCAGCTGGTGGGTTCAAACTGATGATCTTTGGGTTCTTAGTCAAGTGCTTTACCCGTAGCACCACCAGGACTCCTGTTTGTGTTCTAGAAGAATCAATATTTGAAATATCTAGCGAGAAGCTCCATTTCCTCCCGGAATACTAATCATAAATCTTGTGAAAGTGTGAAATTATTTTTAATGAGAAGTCAGACCATTAAAAAAAAAAAATTCTTTAAGAAAAAATAGATTTTGTTTTAAAAGAAATAAACGAATAGGCGGCAGATGGGTATTTTAACATAAGTATTTTATTGCACATTTTTGTAGAATTTGAACCCTCATAGTGCTCTGGGAATAACTTAGTGGCAGAGTCATTTTATACAATTCAAAAGCTTGCACTTGGCCTGCATTAATTTCCTACGGTTGCTGTAACAAAATGCCACAAACCAGGTGGCTTAAAAGAGCTGAAATTTATTTTCACACAGTTCTAGTGGCTAGAAAACTGAAATCGGAGTATTGGCTGGGCCACGTTCCTCAGAAGCCTTTAGGGAAAAATCCTCCTTTGCCTTTTCCAGCTTCGGGTGTTTCCCAGCAGCCCTTGCTGTTCTTTGGCTGATACAAGTCATTGCTTCACTCCAGTCTTTGTTCTATCTTCACACGGCGTTTTCCACTTTGCCTGGTTGTGTCTCTGTACCCATAGTTCCCTCTTCTTTCTCTTATGAAAACACCAGTCATTGGATTTGGCACCCACTGTAATGCAGTCCTGGTGGTGCAGTGGTTAAGCTCTCCACAGCAAACCAGAAGGTCAGGGGTTTGGATCCACCA